GTGGTCGCATAGATCAGTACATGTGTTAAACTTTATAAAACTGTCCAAGAAAGAAGCCAGTGTTGATATATGTTAATTTTTTTTTAATTATAAAAGGATTAAAACTTAGTTTTGTAAGTCAGGGTTCTCCAGAGAAACAGGATCAATAAGATTCTCTTCCCCTCCCCCCACTATATAGGAATAGATATTCTATTGGTACTGCATGGATAGATAGAGAGATAGAGAGATTTGTTATAAGGCAGTGGTTCACATGATTAGCAAGACTGAGAAGTCCCATGATCTGCTGTCCGCAAGCTGGAGACCCAGGAAAGCCAGTGGTGTAGCCAAAGGCCTGAGAGTGGGAGAGCCGATTTTGTAGGTTCCTGTTTGAGTCTAATGGAATCTAACTAGGAGCACGTAGGACAGGAGAGGACAGGTGTTCTAGCTCAAACAATCAGCAGAGGGAGAATGACTGGAATTCTTAACCATGCTTGTCACTTTTTTGTCTACACTCTGTGGCTAAGGCTGGAACTGGCCTGTCCTGGGGGGTTTGGGTAAGTCACCTATAGTAGAGTTAACTCTCTTCCCCATGCTCGTGGGCCTATTTCAGGGTGCAGGAGGAGGTGAGGTTGAGGCAGCAGCTGCTCTCCCAGAACGACAAGCTACTCCAGTCCCTCCGAGTGGAGCTGAAAGTGTATGAGAAGCTGGATGAGGAGCACAGGAGACCGAGAGGTATGGGGTGCTCTGATCCGTGGCTTTTCTCATCCCGGGGCTGCTGCATATTGGGATGTGAACATCCCCAGACAGCTGGGGAAACAGGAAGGACTTAGGCTCAGGAGTCAGGCCAGCTGAAGTCCGGACTCTCACGCCCTCCTTCCTGCCTGTGTGACCTACAGCAGGTCACTTCCCCCGTTAGGCCTGTTTCTGCCTCTATAAAACATGTCTATGAATACCCATTGTGTAGAGTTGCTGTGAAAGTTGAATGAGATCATTTATTAAAAGTATCTTAGCGCTGTACCTGGCACTTAGTAGGCACTCAAGAAATGACTTTCATTAAAGTCTTACCTGCTAGTGTGGATTTCTTTTTGCCCATTCATTCGGCAAATATTTGTGGGGAACTTCCCGCCTGCTGGGCATTGCTCTGGGGATAGTTGTTGGCCCTGGGCCTCTCTGTATCCCAAGAAAGATACCAGATTAGAGTGACTCAACTATAAAGTGTAATATTTCAGAATCAATTTTGAGGTGTGGTGGGTTTTTTTTAAACTAATTTTCCAGATGGTTTCTCCCTATTGAAAGTTTATCTAGAAAAGGGTCATCTCACAGCTTTCATTTTCTCTTCAAGTTGCTTTTCTTATTCTTGCTGTTGTATCTTTTTAATATACTGTGGCTCTTAAAATCATCCCCTTTCATTCTATAATTCCAGCCCAAATAGATTTTATTACTATTAGACATAATTTCGGGGTTTGGTGTGCAATTTGCTGGGCTTTTATGGTCAGAAGGGAAAATTAATTTCCAGCCCTGATTTAGCCTATGAAATAGCAGCAATTAAGTCTGCCAGTATTTTTGTTTCTAAAGTCAAGTTGTTATTTTAAATTGTACCGAGTTCTTAGGAAGGGGGGGGGTGAAGGTGGTGGTGGGTTTGAAATGCTGTTGAGTTCCTTTGATGCCTGACCTTTTGATTGTGGAAGAGGTCAAGCCTTCCCTTTGCACATGTCCGCAGAGGCCAGAGCAGAGGCGTCTGGAGAAGGCTGGAAGGGGCAGGATCCTTTCAGTGACCTGCACGGCCTCCTGATGGAGATCCAGGCTCTGCGGGCGCAGCTGGAAAGGAGCATTGAAACCAGCAGCACCCTGAAGAGCAAGCTTGAGGAGCAGCTGGCACAGGGGGCAGAGAAGGCACAGGAAGGAGCCCTCACTCTGGCTGTCCAAGCCCTGGCCATCCCCCAGCGGCCCCGTCAGCTAGACACAGACGGTACTGCACCTGCGTCTCACTTTCTAAAAATGCAGCTGAGTATCTGTGTGTGGCGTGTGAGCTTCTGAATGATGTCTTTGCCCCATGGAGGTGTCTTTCCATTGACAGCAGACATGCAGGCCCAGGGGCCTGACCGCTAATTAGCTGTCACCTTTGGCAAAATGGTGTAATCTCTGTGTGGGACATCTTGGTTCTCAAGGAAGTGGAGTTTGGGCTTCCAGCCACCCTCGATGCCTCCGGTCTTCCTCCCTCCCACCAATTTAGTCCTGTCCACATCACTCTGGTGCTGAAAATCCTTTTCAGTTCCTCTTACTGCCTTTAAAAGAGAATCTAAACCTCTTACTCTGGCTTTCAGTGTCTTCAGGATCTGGAAAGCGTCCTGGTAGTTTTAAAAATTTACTTTGTGTTTTCTTGTGGGTTTGTTGTCTTGCCCTGGAGAGGCAGTGTCAAGGGGCAGCAGCAAGAAGACAAGACACCTGTGCCACCTGCCCAGCACAGGGCCTGGAGCAAACCAGCAAATGGCCAGGCTTAAAGCAGCCGGCCAGGCCGTCCTTTTTGCTCCAGGGACGAAGGAACTAAGGCCCAGAGAGTGGATGGGGCTTGCCCAAAGTGACACAGCAAGTAGGTGGCAGAGCTGGAGCTGGAAACCATTTCCAGCTTGGAGTCCGGTGCAGTTTCTGACTCCTACCCAACCTTCTGGAGCCTCCGGTATCCGGGGATTGTCATCCTAATGCCCACAGGGTGAGCGTGTGTATCCCCTGGGACCGGGTACTAACATTTATAAACGAGCACTGTACTAAAGCTTAGCTTTACTTGGATTGGGAATAAAGTCTATTGCCTTTAAGTAAACAAATAAAAATCTCTTAAGGAGCATCCAGATTTAGAACTCATAGTGATTAGTTCATTGATTTCTTCTTGATAAGAATTTTAAAATTTTAGCCAAAAAGATGATGTAACAATATGAAAAAAAAGTGAAGGGGAGAAAAACCCTTTGTGATTCTACACAATGATCATTTTTTAAATTTTGCCTATTTCTCTTTATTGTTTAATCACTTATAGGCATGTATTTATATTGTTTGAATTGGTTTTGTGCCATTCCGTGTCCTTTATTTTTGCCCAATATTACATCATCCGCGAACCCCCCCCCGCCCCCGCTTTCACATGGTTTCCTAATGATTGTTTGCAGATTACTGTCAGTCACCGAACCATCACCCTGTTGATTATTAAAGTGGTCTCTGATTTGGAGCTTTAATAAACATCAATGTTAATGTGCTTTTTGCTGTTAAACAATACTCTCAGGATAAAATCCTGCTAGGGGCCTCTCAAGGGGTTGGAATGGCGCCATACTGCTGCCTTCTAAATAGTCTATACAGCAGCAGTGTGCAAAGGTAGTGGTTTTAGCATGACTTCATCAGCGCTGGGCATTGCCATTTCAAATACAGATCTGCTCCTCGACTGTTTTAGGGCTTTGAGGAGATGACTCAGGAGATTGTGGGGGTGGGCTAGGGGAAAATGAAGCAAGGAGAGCAATTCTGTGCTTGGGGTGCCCAGGAAGGAGGGTCGGGAAGCTAAAGTGAGGAGGCCAACGCGCAGCCTTTACTTGCTTTTGAATTTGTTCAGAGGCAGCCCTAGGTGTCCCTGACAAGAGGCATCCAGGAAAGTGTTCAAAATTCACAGTGCTGCCTCAGCAGAAAAGTTTTCTAATTTCCTTGAGTCAAGATCAGAATTCTGTCACAGGCAGCAGCGTCTCTTCCTTTGCAAAAAGACTTTTCCGGGCTATATTTAAGTGCATCTGTTAAAAAGTTTTGTTCTAAAAGCTGCTTTGGCTGAAAGCGATTCCCTCGGGGGCCAGCTCCATGGATCCTTGGCCCTGGGGATCGCAGTGCACCCTTGGGAGGTGCTGGAGTGCAGTCAGCTCACTGCCTAGTGGTGCAGGGATGGGAAGGAGCTGGGGTAGGGGATCCTGTCACCTGGACACAGTCCTTGCTCCGCCACTGACATGCTGGGTTATGCTGGGCAGATCACTTCCCATCTCTGCTGCCCCTTGGTCTCCCCTTCCATGAAACCGGATTTATAATGCTCTTCTGCCCACCAAGCTATTGAGAGACTGATAGCTTTTCAGCTCTGAAAGTGCTTTCCATGAAGTGTCACACAGGTCACCTGTACAGCATCTGTTGATTTTGCCTCCTTACTGTGTTTCAAGTTCCTCACCCCCAGGTCCTGGTGCAGCTCGCTCTCCTCTTCAGCTTAGATTACCGCCGTAGCCTCCACACTCACTCCTACAGTCTAAAACGCAGATCTCAGCTCAGCCTTGCCCTGCTTAAAGCCCTTGTGTGGGTCCCACAGTCCTCATCGTTCTGTCCTTGTGCCCCACTGCGTCCTTCCCCAGCACCCAGGCCTCAGCCATGTGAACTATTTTTCCCCGATTTGGTTCACTCCTCTCTGCCTTCGCACCTGCTCCTCCCACTGCCTGGCGTTTCTTTCCCTCCTCTTTCCCATGGGTCAGTCACAAGCTGTCTTAAAACATAACGCAGGTGTTAGTCTTTGGGAAGCCAAGTTGGAGCCAACACCTCTCTCCTGAGCTCCCGTGGCCCCTGTGTTTCCCTCCCCAATCCCCGATCACACTGAAGTGGAACCACCTGTTCACTTGTCTGACAAGCGGGCTCTTGTAAGGAAGGGTCTGGGCCCCATCCGTCTGTCTCCCTGGTGTCCCGCATAGGGCCTGGCAGGACGGATGGCCAGTGAAGATTTGAGTGAGTGCCTGTGTGTGCCTGAATAAGTTAGTGCGTATATGTGAGGTACGTTACTGTCTCCTCATTTATTTCTCTCTCAAATGCTGACTACAGTGAAACTAATGGCTTATTTTCCTTCTCTTGTTTTGCATTTCGTAGATGGTGACAAATGTCCCATGGCAAGTGATAATTCATTTGATCTGTTTGATTCCACTCAGGCAGTGACACCAAAATCAGGTATAAAGCTGAAGTCTGGGTAACTGGCAGCATCGGGTGTGGGCGTAGGATTTGTAGATTGAAGAGTAGGGCTTCCTGGTCCCAACTCAGGACGGTGTTTGGCAGGGATTTGGGGTTTCAGGTTCTCAGTCTCTCTGGCTGGTGATCTCCTCCTCCAAGCCGGTAATTTACTCCTGGGTGTTACCAACTGTAGCAACTTCTGTGGGTCCCTGTTGCCATAGATTAAAGTGTGATCACCTTAGCGTGGCTTTCAAGGCCCTCCAGGGTCCAGCCCCAGTGCTTCTGTCCCCCCCATCACTTGGCCTGCTGTAGCCACACAGAGGGGTCACCATCCTGCAGACGGGCCTGCACTTTCCTCTCGCTGTGACTTTGACACCCCGGTCGTCCCAGTCTCTGCCAGCGAAAGTGCTACCACTTCCCCAAGACTCACCACTAGCACACGCCTCTGTGAAGTGCCTTTTCTGCTGTCCCGGGTCACAGTCATTCATCCATACTACTGTAGATCAGAGGTAAAAAGCAACAGGCCTTTACCTCTGCTTAGTGTAATTCTTGCCACCTGTCCAATCCAGCTCAGCTGTTGCTTCTTCTCCGAGGCCTTCCCTGATCTCTCCCTCCCTGCATAGGTGATGGCTTTTTCTCTGCGCTCTGGCTCTTCACCACTGTGCTGTTCCACCTCCTACTTGTGCGTGTTCCCATTAGACTGCGGTGCTGGATTCATCTGTGTGGATCTGGGGTCTTCTGCAGAGTGGGTGGTTGTTAAGTGTTGGTTAAATTGACTTGAGCCTCTCCCACAAGATTAATAAGACACCTGGTGTTGGGTAATATACAGACTGAGGTCTAGGAGCCAGGCCTCTTTCCTCCCTGGGTTTGGGTTGAGTGGCATTTGGGAGTGAGGGCCTCTCTTAGTCCTCCTAGCTAATGTCAACATCATGAGCTCCTTGAACCAGGGTGCTGTCCCAAACAGATCTGACGTCTTACCTTTCATTTTGCACCTTCAGAGACTCCTCCACTCTCTGTGAATGACGTGGACTCCCTCTCCTGTGACAGTAGCAGCTCAGCAGCCAGCACCCCATGTGTGTCCCACCTGGTCACTGACCACCGCCTGTGGGCCAGCAAGAGTGGCCACCATGTCCTGGGCCTGATTGAGGACTTTGAGGCTCTGTGCACGCAGATTGGCCAGGGCCAGAAGCTCCTTGCCGAAATGGACATGCAAACCCAAGAGGCTCTCAGCCCTGCAAGTGAAGAGCTGGCAACAAAGGTAACCTGACCATAGAGCTGCAGGGCAGACACGCACTGCGGGTAAGGGGAGGAAGGGGTTAGCTGAGGGTGCTGGGAGGCAAGTGGCACAGTTATCCTCTGAAAGGCCATGAGAAGAGGGACCAGGAATTGTGGCCCATAGAGCTCAGGGCCAGGGTCAGGTCCAGTTGGGGGGCCTGTTGGTGGTTGTTGCTTTTGGTGGGGGAGCAGCTTGTTGAGGTTTGTGCCCTGTGTTCCTGCGACAGCTTCTTTGTGACCCGTGGGCCACTGCTCCCATCTGTCCACTCACTCCGCTCATCCGTCCTTCTCTGCACTGACGCCCCAGTGTCTGTCCATGCTTCTGCCTGGTCCCCTGTCCATCGCCCATCAGACCATGTGCTCAGGCTCGGGGACCACTATGGTGAAGATCAGGCCTGATCCTCATGAAGCGTCCCGTGTGGTGCCATGGACTAGCTTGCCAGCGCGAGGTCTCCCACAGCCACCTCGAGATTGTTGGCGGCTCCCACCTCTTCTTGCAGAGGAGCTTTTTATATGATATTCTGTTCCCCCCAAAGTGACCCTGTGAAGTAGGTGATGTGGTTCCCCCTTTACAGATGCTGAGGTGAAGTTACTTGGAGGGGTCAATGTTTGAGCGCAGTTCCCTGTCCTCTGAGGGACTCTGTGTCATGACGCTGCTTCCACTGCACAGGAGGTGCCAGTCACTGCTTCTCCCTGGGCAGCGGCTGCAAGGCGCTCTGATTTCTGCCTGGCTTCTGCCTGCCTCCCCAGCATCGCCCCCCACATCCCCGTGTCCCCCCGTGCATCCTGCTCTGAGCAGGTCAGACCCTGGCTCCCCTTGTTCCCTCTGGCGTGGAGCCCCCACCCCCAGCCCCTTTCCTGCCCCTTCTCCCTGCCTCATCTGAGAGTCGCCTCTTGTTGAGGACCCAGGCGCTTGACATGCCTTTGCCCCTTCACTGCCTCCAAGGCCTGGGGTCGCATTTTTTTTTTCTCTCAAGACTGGACCAGACCTTTGAGCTTCTGTGGGCCACATTTTCTGATCCCTCTTCTCAGGTCCTCACTGAGGAGACTTGAGTCCCCTGCTTCCTGAGACTTGTTTTGACTTTTGTTTTACTATATTGTAAAAATCAATTTTACATTTTGTATTCCCCTAGATAATAAGCTCCAGGAGAGCACCCGACAGCGTCTATTAGTGTCTGTTACGTTCAGTGTTGTGTAATGTTGTATCTACCACCTAGCACAGGGCCTGGCGGGGACGAGGGGCTTAATAAATATTTGTTGAATAAATTAATAAATAATAATTATTAAATATACAATAATAAATATTTTCTGATCGTAATCTTTATTGTACAGAAGCTAGAAACTGTAGAAAAACATAAAAACAAAACATCTCTAAAAATGCCACCTGGAGGTCTGCACTTAAAATTTCAACATATATTCTTTTAGGTCATTTGTAAAGTTTGTCAAACCTACTCATAAGTATATGAGTTTCATATATTTCAGTAAACATCATATTAACATTTTTCCTATCTCAGTATTTTTCTAGCACTTGATTTTTAATGGCTGCCAAGTAAGCTTACATGTGGGTGTACCATCATTTATTTACTCTCTTTCACTTGTTTTTTGGCATATAAACTGTGATGAGCATCCTTATATGTAAATCTGTGATCGTATTTTTCATTCCTACTTCAAAGGTTGTGAACTTTTTAGGGCTTTTGTTGGTGGCCGTTGCTACATTACTTTCCAAAAAGATTTTATCTCCATTTACGAGCATCTATCTCTTACGCCTTTGTCTTCATTGAGTATTTTTATTTATAATGATTTTTTGTCAATTTGGTATCTAAAAAGGGTATGTCATTTTATGTTTGTATTTATTTTATTGTGAAAATAAATGCTCTTTTAATTTTTCTTCTTCTTTTTATTTCCCCTTCTCTGAGTCACATTCTTTGGTTTCCATGCCTTTGGCACCCCCCAATTTGAGTTTGTTCCTACCTGTAGAGAGGGTGAGAGAGATCTTGCAAGGCCCTGCTGTCATATTCCCAGTAAGCAGGGCTGTTTAACAGGGACTGTTAAAAACATTGATGTTGTTTCGTTTGCAGTTGAGGTCATTTGCTCTGGGGGTCTCCGTGGGCTATAGAGCAGTGCGAGTGGCCCTCCCATGGATCCTCTTCTTGGCAGAGTAACTGTAGTTAATGCCGCTGGTTATTAATCATGGTTATTGATTGGGTTAAAATCACCACTGAAATTCTCTCATAATCTACAATTCACCAGTCTTTAAGAACAATAAATCGGTGTCATGTGGCACCAAGCTCTTGCTCAGCGTGTGAAACACAAGCCCTACAGTCTGGAGATTTATGCTGCCTGTTAAAGCTTGCTTGTCTGTAATCTTTTTCAAGACTGCATGTGACAACCTTCTCATCCTCCCATGTAGGGTCTGCATTTGGCACCACTGAGCAAGTTTGTCACCAGTGTGAGCACAGCCAAGCTGACCCTGGAAGAGGCCTCCCGGCTCCTGAAGCTTCTCTGGAGAGTCTCACTGCCCACAGATGGCCAGTGTGGCCTTCACTGCCAGCAGGTGGGTGGTGACATGCGATTCAGAGACTCAAGCGTGCCGCTGGGGCCTGTGTCTCAGTCTCTTCTGTGCCCAGCCCAGGACCTGGCCCACAGCAGACGTATGTGTCAGAGGGAGGGGAGGGCACTATGTTTGTTACAGCTTCTCTGTGTGCTTACCTGATCCCCCTGCAGCCCTGACCCGTCTGTCCCACTCTGAGCACGTCTCTGTCGAGTAGAATCCTGTCTGCATCCCGCACACGAGGAAACTGAGACTCAGGGTGTTGAGGCACTTGGTCAAGGTTACAGAGCTGGTTGGAAAACATACGTATCTGAACCCAAAGTTTATTCTTTTATAGGCTTTAAGTCCCACTTTGTCCTAATGGACCGGCTCATTCTTTTCTACTCATGATCCCTTTCTTTTAGATGCCTTTCTCTGGACCTTCTGATTGCTATTGATAGCTTTCATCGTCATCATTTGGTGGGCCTTCTTCAAAATCTGTATTAACTACTTAGGAGTGTCAGGCTGCAAATCAGGAGTCTGGCAGAGTAGAAGCTGTCCCCTGACTTCTGTCTGTGGGACACGTGCAGTGCCATGACAGGGTGAGCACCCACTCTGGCTAAGCACAGAAGCCACCCTGGAGGGAGGAACAGACAGGTTAAGGAAGTTAGAACCCCCTGCTTGGTGGCCTGGTAGATAGTTTGCCTTCATTTATCTAACCTGAAAGTTCTTGCAAAGGCCAGCAGGAAGGCAGAAGGGACGTTTGCATTCCATGTCATAGTCTCATTTTGACAGCTCTCAGATCTATCAGACATGGCAATGAAGTAGCCGGTGACGTAGCCCTTTCTTCTCTGACGGGTCTGATGAGCCTGTCTAAGATTTCCCTCTTGGGATCCTGGGGAGGAAGTTCATAACCATTTGTTGCTTAGGGAAATAATTTTTTGCCCCCTTTTGGCTGGTCGGGGTGTGGAATGCAGAGTATCAGGGAGGAAGCTGGGGCTCCCTGGGCTCAGCCCACATTGGCCTTTCCTTCCTTCGAACCCACCAAGCTCTTTTCCTCTTAGGCTTAAGGGGCACAGGTGGTCTGTCTGCCTGGAATGTCCCATGCCCCCTCCTGGCTCGTTTTCATCTTTCAAGTCTCGGATAACGGCTACATCAGAGTCAGAGAGGGCTCCCCGATTCCTCAGCCACAGCGTCCTCTTCTGCTTCATCGTAGCCCTCATCACAGATTATGGAATGACACATTTGTTCGTTTAATGTCTGTCGTCCTCTGTTTTCCTTCAGAGGACCATGTCTGTTTCGTTTATATTTTTGAATGAATGAATGAATTTCTTCCTATACTCCCAAACTAGTATTAAATACCTGCCTCATATGATTTTTAAACCAGACATGTCTGAACTAGACGATTGACTCTCAGTGCAATACTTTTGTCCTTAGCACATAGTAGTAACTGTTAAATAGACAGGATCCAGTTCTTACTTTTTATACATATATGATACATAACACACACACACACACACACACGTTACAGCCACGTTGATCTCCCTGAGTGCATACGGTCCAGGCTTGGTGGGTGCCCATGAGAACTCATCCTTATTTTCTCGGGTAGTTGATCATGCCCACTGTCATATAGAATTGTGGAGCCAAAAAAGGGACCTCTGAGATGCTCTGAGGTGGTTGCTGGTGTACACAGACCCCTTGTGTGGTGTTAAGTTGCCTCTAGCCACTTTTCTGTCACTGCCTGTGTTTCATGTGGTGCCTTTGCTTGGTGTGAAATGTGTGTAACACAGATTTCCAAGTCTTCACCAGCAACCCCAGGGTTTTTTTTTTTTTTTTTTTTTTTTAACTACCTGGCGTTTTTCTCTGAGTGCCATTAATTTGGTTTTTGCATTAAAAATGCCATCCAATGCAGTCCACAGGACTGCTCTGGAAAGTGTGTATCATTTTTATGTAAGAAAGTTGTATGGAAGGTGCCAGGTGTGATGGCTCACACCTGTAATCCTAGCACTCTGGGAGACTGAGGCAGGAGGATTGCTTGAGACCAGGAGTTGGAGACAAGCTTGAGCAAGAGCGAGACCCCATTTCTGTAAAAAATATAAAAATTAGCTGGATGTGGTGGCATGTGCCTGTGGTCCCAGCTACTTGGGAGGCTGAGGCAGGAGGATCGCTTGAGCCCGGGAATTTGAGGTTGCAGTGAGATAGGCGACTGATACCACCGTACTCTAGCTGGGGCGACAGAGTGAGACCCTGTCTTAAAAAAAAAGAAAAGTTGTGTGGAGGGATGCAAATGGACACACATACTTATAATAATTTTTTTAAATGGAGGATAAACAGTAACAAAACAGGCTGCTTGTAGGAATAGAAGCTAGATTTCTCTGAATAAACCTTGTTTTGTAGATTTGACTTTGAAACCGTATGAATGCATTACATAATTATAAAAAAATCAAAATGGAAAAAAGCAATTTCTAAAAATTTATGGCAAGATGAAACAAACCATCCTTACTGTATATGGCATCGTAGGCATAACAACACAAAGAGGAAGCATTTCAATGACTAAAACACAGTAATTTGACCATACATTCCTAGTAGAAATACATATATTTTCTGTTTTTAAACCACTCTGAGAGCTTTAGAAGTAGTAGAAACATTCTAAGGACAAAAAGAACTACCAAAATAAATTTAAACTGTTTTCAGTGATTATATTGTTAGTAATAATATTGGTATTAATATTCTGAAACTATTCCTACTATAAGATAAAACAAATAGTGTTAATTTCATTAGGAACTAGATTTTTATAAGAGAAAAGAGATATAAATAGAAAATCAAATGAAGAAACCCTATAATCCTAAATTTGAAGCAAGTATCAGTATGAACTCGTGTTATATTTTTTTATTTGAAAAATTTACTGACTCCATGTAAAAAGCTTTAGAAACGATGTCTGATCTAGTACCAGTGAGCACTCCTAGTGTTCAAATTGTCGTTTCTAAATACCTTTTCTTACTAAAAGGAACTAGAGCTCCTTGGAGAACCAGCTGGCTTCTAGGTCTGGGGCAGGAAATGTACAGTATAGCTTAGGATGTATTTTCTCTTAGTAAGAAAGGAACGAGGTGGGAGGATGGGGGGGGGCGCTGTAGGTTTACCGTGTTCTCAAAGTGTGGATCCTGGACTGAGAGCGTCAGCATCACCTGGAAACTTGTCAAAAATGCAAATTCTCAGGCCTCACCCAGACCTGCTCAGTCAGAAACTCTGAGAGTGGCCCCTGTAATCTGCTTTTTCAGCTCTCTAGGTGGCTTTGAGAACCACTGAATTAAAAGAAACTTAAAAGGTAAATGCAAAATGTGGATATTATTTGGATCCTGAGTCAAGCCAATTGTTTAAAAAAATAAAATTATGAAGCAGTCAAGGGAATATGTTCACTGACTCCATCTTTGGTGATATTAAGGAATTATTGTCATTTTTTAGGTGTGGTAATGATACCATGTTTTTTTTTTTTTCTCTTTTAAAGGAACCCTTTTTCTTTTAGAGATATATTTTAAAATATTTTATAGATGATATGATTGGCTCCTAGGATTGGTTTCAAAATAATCTTGGGGAGAGAACGAGCAGGGGTGTAGAAGAAACAAGTATAACCATGAATTGATAATTGCTGAAGCTGGATGGCTACCTGGGGTTCATTAGCCAATTCTTTCTTCTTTTATAAATTAGATTTTTCATCATAAAAGGACAACAAACAAGGAAAAAATCCTGCCCCAGAAGTGAGGCAGAACACTGATGAAGATGTCTGAGGCCTCCAGGCGGGAAGAGGGGTGGCTTCCAGCTCGGTGCTCAGTGTGTGGCCCTCAGGGAGGGTTGTCCTGTTGGGCTCCTGCTGGGTGCCAGGCCCTCTGCTCACACTCGGCGTCCCATTTTATCCCTTTATAACCTTCAGGGAGTTAGCTATTGTTATTCCCATTTTTCCAGAAGTAGGAACTGAAACTCCAAGAGGTTAAGTGACTTGTTCCAGCATCATATCACTAGGAAGCGGCAGCGCTGTGCTTTGGAGCCCCTGCTGTTTTTACCATCGTATATTCATCCATAAAAATGAAGATTTGAGTCCAGTGGGACAGCAGACACATAAATAATTAAAATTTCTTGTTTCTAGTGCTGGTTAGAATAGGTACAGGATGTTAGGAGAGCGCCAGTGAAAATTAACTCACTAGCCGGCAAATAGTGTCACACCTACTCTGCGCCAGGCACTGGCGATCAGAGGGAAGAAGTGAGCTGTGGTCAGTAGGGAGGCAAACAAGTAAACACGGTTCCCGCAGCCCACCCTGACATGGGGACGCGGAGTGCCACGGGCACCCAGAGGAGCAGTAACCAGCCCAGACTGGGGTGGGGAAGGGCTGTCAAGTGAAGCTTCCTGGAGGAGGTGACGGCTGAGCTGACTTTAGGTGGAGGAGTAGGGTTGGCCAGGCAGGACTTGAAATGGTCACTCCCGTCTTCCGGTGTCGCACTTGAGTCTCACTCTACTGCAGTGTGACAGACAGGCCAGAGGTGGTTATTCCAATTTCATAGATGCGGAACTAAGGCTCTGACTAGAGAGAAACTGTCCTGGAATGTGTGGCCCACGGATCCATGACCAGGACCTAAACCTTTGTGAGCTCTCAGCCGGAGCAAGAGAATCAAAGCAAACCTAATGTTTAACATTAGGATCTGTTTGGGAAGAACCGTTGAAGTCCTTGTAGCTGACATGACTGGTTAATCTTAAAAGTAGGTTAAGGCAGGGAATCAAAAAATGATACGTACCTTAAACATTTTAGTTTAACTTAAAACAGATAAATGTACATTCATTTGCCATTCTTTTGATGTGGGGCCAGGGCCTTTTCTTTGAATTTGGGTCTGCTGATTGGAGTTGCACATCTTCTTTCTTTCATAAACTACATCCATAATGTATGTCTGTCACTTCCAATTTCTGTTTCTTTAAGATGAAGAGAAAACTTAGACACTTGCAGAGCAATTTGAATATAGAATTCTTCTGGACTGTGTTCCTCCCACATCTTTTATAGTTGTCTCACCCACACCTAATTTGCCAGAAATGTGTTTTTTAGTGACTTGCTTTTATCAAGTCTTTTCTGAAGCATATGTTAGTTTTCATACAACCAGTTCTCTCTTTTAATACGCATATTTTGTGGGTTTACTTAAATTTAATTAAATTATGTAATTTGATTACAAGTACAACTACCATAAACAAGTTTGGGAACAAACTGAAGTCGCTCTCCATAAGCTGAAAACTCAGCCCCTCTCCTCGTGGGAGCAGAGGTGTTTCAGTGTAGCAGAGCAGCCTGTGCCAGGGTGTTTTCCTGAGCGGAAGGGAGTGTCCTTGACCCCGTGAGCTGGTTTGGTGGCGACTGGCTGGGAGAGTGTCTCCTGTGTGTGTATGTCACTTCACAGCCCTGGGGCTCTGGGTTTGCCACCCACTCACCGCTCTGCTCTGAAAAACCAAAATAGGCTCTCCTAATGGATCACGCTGTCCTGGTAATACTTCTATATGATATTTTTAAGATTTAAACATTACAGTTTTTTAAGTCAGCATAAACGTTTTTGTAAAAAAAACTCAATTTGAAATCATATCTTGATGACATCTCAATATACACATCTATGGATGTGGACATATATATATTTGGGTTTATGAAACAGGAATGCCTTATATACAGTATGTGTTCTTGGCTCTTTTGTCACCGATTATGATCATCTTTTGATATCAATAAATAGAACTCTACAACATCATTTTTAATAGCTGCAAATTTATTTCATTATGTATAAGCACCATAATTTTTTTTATCCAGATATGTATTAAAACAAATCAGGTTCCTTATTTTTTCCTACCACGAACAATGCTGAGATGAACATCCTTGTATGTAGGCATCTTCTTATGCTTATGTTGTTATTCCTTGGGGCAAATGCCAGGTGTAGAGTTGCTGGGTTGACGAGTCCAGTGCATTTCACAGTTTGGGAGATCTTGCTAATGTCTTCTGGCTGGGCCCTGCCAGTTTACAGTTTTGCTACAGGCATGGGGTACTTTCCCCTCACCTTCACTGGATTTTGTCCAATTTTGCCAATCTGATCAGCAGGAAAAGGCTTCTAGTTTTTATTCAAATATTTTTGTTACCACAATTGGGCATCTTTTTATGTTTTTGTAATTCTTCCTATGTAATATGATGTGTTACAGTCTTAGTTCACTTTTCTAATTCTTTTTTTCTTCAGATCGAAGAAATGAAGGCAGAGATCACCAAACTGCACAAAAAATTGTTTGAACAAGAAAAGAAGTTGCAAAACACTGTGCAGCTTTTGCAGCTGAGCAAGCAGCAGGAAAAAGTCATCTTTGATCAGTGTAAGCAAGCGGTGGGGAGCGGCTGCCACATCTGTCCACTTCTTGCCTCCAAGGGCCAATAGTCCAGCCCTGGGTTACCCGCCTAGGAGCCCGGACTGTTTGCAATCATGCCTCCTATTTATGGGTTTCTGTCATACTTTGTCCTTTCTGACTCACACAGTACGACAAATGTATTCACTTAAGAGACCTTTGCAGAGTGGCCTGTCGGTGCCAGGGACCGTCGTCCCACTGGGGAGACAGGTGTGTGGCATGTGCAGCGACGGGAACACGCATAGGGTGTCACAGGAGCACTGGGGTGGGAGTGGGGCGGGCGTCACTGTTTTAGGGGAGGTGGGCATCTTGGACGAAGTGACGCCCAAGCTGAGTCTGAAAGGAAGAGTAGGGGTCATCAGATGCAACGAGGAGTGGCAGTCGAGGCAGGGAACAGCATGGACAGAGGCACAGAGGCAAGGCATATGGTTTTGTATTTGAGAAACCAAAACCAGTTCCTCTTGGTGAAGTAAAAGCTGCAAGTGGCAGGTTGAAGCGGGAGGCGCTGGGGGAGCTAGGGACTGTGTCCGTGAGAGGCCTGAGGTGGCAGGCTCAGAGCAGAGGGTCAGCCTATCACATCTGCGTGCAAGGACGGCTTGCTAGTGTCTGCTCACCAGTCAGGAGGAGGCCGACTCTCTAGTCAGGTAGGAAGGGAGGGAAGGCCTCGGCCAGGATGGTGGGATCCAGAGGAGGGCATGGGTTTGAGAAATACTTCTCAAGGCAGACACTGAAACTCAAGGTCAGAGAGGTTTAGTAACTTTTGCAAGGTCAGCCCCAGCTCTGATGCAGCTACTTCAGAGATTGTTTGGGAGCAGCTCCATTTTCCCGCTTTAAACCCACAGCACTCCCTCCCGCTGCGTGTTTAGAGGAGCAGGCAGTAGCCGAGTTTCCATTTGTGCCTCTTGGCAGCACGGCCCTGGCCAAGCCTTGCGCTGTCTGCGCGTCAATTTCCCTGTCTTCGGAGAACTGCTGACTGTAGCGCTTTCCTCTCTGGAGGTGCCAGCCTGCCTTGTACTGCTCTCTTATCAAAGTCCAATGTTTCTGGGGCATTTCTGAGAAGCACAGAACATAGATTATTGCCAAGTAGGAGTTCTCCTTAGCCGCCCCCTGGGAACCTTCTGAAAATAGACTCTGTGAGACTGGCAGAGTTTGAACTGCAAACGAGAGCAGCTCAGTCACTGAGCAGGCACTGAGTTCCTGTTCTGTGCCCCCCGTGCCAGGCTCTGAGGACAGAGGTGAATGAGACAGTTCCTGCCAGTCAGGATCTTGGGCTTAATGGGGGGAGGGAGACACAAAGACCAGCTGCAGGACTATGTGCTGAGTGCATCACAGAAGGCCTGAGAGGTGGTTCAAGGCCGTGTCTGGTTCAAGACTTGATTGGGTCTTGAGGGATGAGTAGGAGTCAGTCAGACGGCAAAGGGGCAGGGACAGGATTCTGCCAGACAGCCGCATGGCCCTGCAGCTGCACTCCCAGAAGCAAGAGAGAACTAAGTCTTCAGGGACATGCTTAGGACATGGCAAGGCTTTTCCTGTGAGAGATGAGTGAGAGGGATAAGTAGGAAGCAGGTTACAAGGAGCCTTGTGGACCAGACTCCAGCATGAGCAGCAGGAATTGGCATGGTCCATTTGTGTATCAGAAGATCCCGTGGCTGAGCTTGGAGGGGCCAAGAGGCAGGGAGTCCTCTTTAGGGGCTGTGGCAGCCCCCCAGGTGGGCAGGGCCATGGGACAGAGGGACTGGTTTTGAAAGGTAGGAAGGAGGTCAGCCAACAGAGTTGGCAGATATCTGTGGGGTTCTGGCCGAGGGCTTCATGTCACTCACAGAGGGAAGGAGCTCTGGAGGGGACCTGGCGGGGCAGAAAGCGCTGAGGCAGGTAGCTATGGAGATGCAGCCTCAGCCAGAGCGGGGCGGAGCTTGTCCCAGGTCACATAGCTGGTGGCTGAGCCAGGCCTGCAACTCCTTCTGTGCCAGGCTCTACGGTTCATCCCGACAAGTCTGGTCCTTGGAAATTTCCCAAACTCTGCCAGCCTCATGGATCTGCTCTGGCTCTAAAGTGATGTAGCGAAAGTTGGCATGATGCCCCCTCTTCCTCCTTGCCCTTGTGGTGACAGGGAGGGGGAAGGGCTAGGGCTGGTCCCCTTCTGGGGTGGAGCTGACACTATACCTCCTCCCCGAGCCTTCAGGAAAAAGTAAGGAAACTACGTCCCAGTGAGACCCAAGGACCCTGCTCCCCACTGCCCGCATGCATCACCCGCTTCACTTGTGAGCCTCAGGTCCTCATCTGCAGAGTGAGGGTAGTAATCCTGCCCCATGGATTTGGGGGCATCCAGTGAGGTCACAGTTGGCAAACCACCTGGCCCCGGGTGGACACCACTCAAGAACCTTCTTTCTAGTGCGCTGCTGAGCTGGGAACCCTGGACTGAATAGGGCAGACGTGGGTGGCAGTCACGTCTTTGTGCTGGGGCAAGTCTTGATTTGGGATGAGTCCTTTGCCACAGGGTCCCTCAGTCTTCTCATCGCAGCGGGGATTTCTGTGCTTTAGAACATGGGCAGTGCTGTTCAGGCGTAAGGGTCTCCTCAATCTGGGGCCAGGGATCCTTAGCTCTTCCACTGTGAATTTTGTTCTCTAGCTGTATGGGTATGTTCAGTATTCTTTCAAAATTGTTTTTAACCTCCCCAGCCATGTTACTTAATCTTTTCTGGGTCACAGGCCCCTTGGTGAATCTCGAGAAAGCTACGGTTGGTCTCTCTTCCTCAAAAGTGCATATATCCATATACATATGGAGATTTGCACACAGTGTATGGGGATTTAGGACCCACCAAAGCGTATCATGGTGCCAGGTTAAGAACTTCTGCCCTGCAGCAATGGGGGACCAGGGGACAGAGAGACAGTAGCTACCTCTGAAACTTGTTTTGCTGAGTTACAAACAAAGCCTACACCGTCTGTCCCTTCCCCAGTGTCACAGATTACAAATAAACTTCATTACCTCCAGATGGAGGTTCTTGTGAGGCGAGAAATAAATATTTTCTCAAGGCCACACACAGCACCTATTCCGACTAAGCCATTGGGGAGTCAGGCTGTGTGTCGGGCATGAGTCCATTTCAGCCTGGGGCATTGGTGGCCAAAGGCCCGGCTCCAGAAGCCCGTGTCTGTCCCACCCGGGGAGAACGCTGATTTCCTGACCTCACCAAGCCCTATCTAGAACAGATGCCCTACCAGGCTCGGAGGGCGGATCAACAGTGGCATTCCTGCTGCTGCAGTTTGTGCTGGACGAGGTGGAAGCGACCGCTCTTTATAGTACTTCCGCGAAAGGCAAGGCACACCGGCTCCTTCCCGGAGTTCTGATACATGGGGGACTTCCCAGTACACGGCTTAGGGTGTAGAGTCGGCAGGAACCTCTGAACTCATCCTACCCAACCTGCTCCTGTCTAGGCAAGATGTGACTTGCTCGGGGGAGCCATGTTGGGCTGTTCTACCAGCCAAAGCGCAGGTAAAGGAGGAAAAAAGTGCCCAGAGCTCTTTCTCCCAGGCCATGAGGAGCGGGCTTAAGAACTGCTGTGTAAACATTTGACTTTATAGAACTTCCCTTGATGCTTAACTCGGGCTTCCACATGTGGGTCTGCGTGGAGCAGGGCATACCCCTTCCTACAGCCGCTTCCCAGAGGGCTCAGGAGACCAAAGCAGGCCGGGCACGGTCAGGCTCAGGCCTGCACCCTTCCCTGCACCATCCACCCTACAGAGGCGAGCCCGAGGGGTACCTGGGCAGCCGGTGGCCATGCAGAGCCTCGGTGTGGTGGTGTGTAAAATGGCACAGCACGCTCTGTTCTCTGGATCGCTGTGAGGTAGTGGCTTGGTGAGGCCTTGAAAGGTGTCTCTGGTCCACCCTTGCTGGTGGATTACTTGGGCTGTGGTGGCACGGGTGGGGTCTTCCGACCTCTGTCTGGTCTGGATGCTTCAGGGTTGTCCACATGTCTGAACCCCTTGGGGCTGGGGGGCTTGGCTTTCACACTGCCCTCCTGGACGAGCGTCTCTAATCATCCCATTCTTTGCTTTCCCCTCAGTGGTCGTAACCCACAAAATCCTTCGGAAGGCCAGAGGGAACCTGGAGGTAATGCCCTTTGAGTTGTTTTCACGGCACGCTGTCTGGAGGGCAGGGATGGGTGCAGGGCTAGAAATGGCTTCTTTTGAAAAATGAAGTTGAAGGTGAAACCAGGGACATGTGCTCAACAAAGAGTTGTATTTTTCTGCCAGCAGTGCATGAAAAGTTTCATTTTATCACGCCGTGTCGTCAGTGGTGCTTTCAATTCTTAAATTTATATGCTGTTTTTACCAGTGAGAAATACAGTAAACAGTGCCTGGCACATAGTAGGCCTTTTATAAATATTTCTCGAATGAATACAGTATGATCTCATTGTCATTTTATCGTGTAAATATTTACAGATCAAACAGTCTTTGAAAGCAGTTCCAGAATAACAATCTCACCTTTAACTCTGTCAGGGATCTTACTTCAGAAACCGTCCATTGGACTTAAAATTCTTTTCTCCTCTGTTTTCCTAGCTCAGGCCCGGGGGTGCCCATCCAGGAACATCGAGTCCCAGCAGACCAGGCTCCTGAGGAGAACTTTGAGCCAATAAAGCCTGTGGTCTCCCCAGAGCTCGCACTGTCTCTTTGTTCCGAGTGTGGTTCCTATTTATTGAGGAAGAAAGAGCTGTCTGCCCAAAGGAAATCTATTTTTTCCCGTAATGTTTTCTCTCTGAAAGTTGGCTTAAAGCTGTTGTCAGAAAGGTTCAGATGTTCTGCAATGAGGTATTAAAAAGGCCTTGTGCTCTCGGATGCTGCATTCTAGACCTGGGGGGCAGGTATCTGGAGCTGAGGTGGGCGTCGTGCCGTCCCCCGGGGTTTGCTTAGTACTTGGCCAGCACCGCAGTTTGGAAAGTCTCAATGATTAGTTTCGTTTCAACTTGAGGAATCTGTTACTTTGTGTGGAGCCTCAAAGCCCAGGTCTCAAACTCCCAGGTGACAGGCCACGGTCCCGGGAGTCGCATGGCCTTCAGGGTTGTTCCGAGCTCACTGCTGAGCCCCTGCAGGTGTCCAGAGAGGAGCGACTCCCTGCGGCGTGGCCATGGCACTGGCATGTCACAGCAGCCCTTGAGGTGGTGCCACTCCAATTTAGGACAGAGCAAAGCGAGGCCCAGAGCTGGGACTTGGCATTCGCACCATCCGCACGATGGCAGTGAGCCGTCCACGCTGCTGCCTGTGCACTTGCTTGCGGCAGCCCCGTCACTGACCTTGACCTTCATGTTTACTTATCCTTTCCCTTTGTCCTGAGCTTCATGATGTCCCTGAGAAGTAAACAGGGTAGGGCTTAGGCCACCTTGCAGATGGGGTTCGAGACTGGCCCAGGGTGTCCCTGGGACCTGCAGCCATCCTTGGACGTGGCGCCGAACTGCTCCACCCTGCTCTTTGCCCGTAGCCTGTGCCACCACCAGGTACCATCGAGCAGGCGCCAGTTGGGCAGGTGGGCCTCATCCTCGCAGCCCACTGCTGGGAGCGTTCTGAGTCCTGAGCTGAACAATAAGACCCTTTCTTCAACCCGTGACACTGCTTCAGTGTCTCTCAGGGGCTGGTCTCAAGCCAGTTTTTGGAGCACTGTGTTTGTAGTTCTGTGGGGGGTGGGCAGGAGAGGAGTAGGTGGTACAGTAAGTGGTTAGAGCTCACGCTAGGCTTGGAAGTCAGACCTGGGTTCAGATGTCCTACGGGGGAATAACGTTACTTTGCCTGGTTAGTGCACGGCCCACGGGAGCTGATCTTGGTCATTGGCAAGGGCTTGAGGTGCAGAGCTTGTGTGTGGAGGTCGATTTTGGTTCTGGTACATCCCAGGCCCATCTGGTCGGTAAACCCAGGCGTGCCTGGGCGCGGGGCCTGCAGGGAGCCGGCCATTCGCTTCAGGTCCCCCACAGCTTTTCAAGAACACAGGAATCCAAAACTAAGTATATTTTTATCCCCCAGGTTAGAGCTGTGTGAAATATTTCCAGCCTTGGGCTGGTGAAAGCCCTCCCTCTTCTGGGAGGTGGAGAAGCAGCCCGGTTTGTTTGGGCTGGATTAGGGCCAAGAACAAACTCTGCAAATAAGACAATTTGGACCTTGGAAAAAGCTCCATTGTCCCTGGTGAGTTAATTTTACCAGCAGCTGAATTCAGGAGGCTTTGAAGCAGTAATCAGAAAATGCGTCAATTTCCCGTTGGTGAAATTAATCACCACGTGTGCGGAGCACACCTGAGAGAAACAGCTGCAGGGGCTAAATATACATATAGAGAGGAGGGTGGGGGGAGAGGCCCAGGGGAACGTGCTTTGATCTCACTGCTGAAGCCCACCTGCCTGCCACCCATCGGGAGCCCCAAGGGTAAAACCTTGCCCTCTCCAGGAAGGCGCCACACTGCATCCTCGCCTTAACCTGCTCCGCCCTACCTGTGCTACAAGTGCGGAAACCTGAGTGGAGTCAGGACTTGAACCCGAGTCTGTTAAAACCTGCCCTTTGCATTATCCTACCCCCACGAAATGCCGTCTGTTCGAGAAACTGGAGCCTTTTCCTGCATTACAAGCCAAAGAATTCTCGCCCTACCCTTTCCAAGAAAACGTCTGGATGACCAGAGCAGGATCCCAGGGACCCGCAATTGAATTCCTCTACACAGCAGCCCTGAGAACTGCTTGTAAATGGGCCATGGACGGGAGAAAGAGTGATCTTGTTAATAAGTTCACAGCATTGTGGAGGCCGAGAAACCTGCCTGGGGGATCCGGCCCTGCCAAATTGCCTCTTCAATCTTGGCCATATTTTAAGTCTAACTCAAAAATGCAGTTATCGAAATTACTCGTCTCGTCCCGTCTCCTGGGAAGCTTAGGGGCAGACCTATTTACCTCGCGCCACAGATGGGGCCTCCCAGCTCACTCTGCCGGCACCAGGCGGGGTGGGTGTGGGCAGAGCCAGAGACCCAGGCTCTTGCCCTGGGCCTCAGGGGGCTCCTAATAGAACCAAGCCTCAGTTTCCTCGTCTGCAAAATGAGATGCGGAGAGATACTTAACAGCTGAGAGGCCCGGACATTGGCCGAATCGCTGGGGTTCATCCAGTCACCTCCACTAGGGTCTGCCTCAGGCCAGCAGCACATGCTGGAGACATCCTTGCACCCCTTCCTCACCCTCCGTATCCTCTCTGCGGTAAGGGCCACTCTATCCACTGTTATATACCAAGGCCATCGCTTTGTTCATCCCCACTGCCACTTGGCCCAAGTGACCATCGACTCCCTGTACTGCAGTAGCTTCCCAGTCGGCTTCCTCACAACCACGCTACCCTCTCCAAGTGTCCGCCATACCACAGCTGGAGCAATTCTTTGAAAGGCAAAGCGAATCACATTACCCTCCTGGTTTAAAATGTGGAATGTCTCTCACAGGCCCTCGGTGCACTGGACCCTGCCCATCCCGTCAGTCTCCAGCTGTCCATCCTCTTGGCTCCCTTTGCCCCAACCTCTTAGGGCTTTCCTCTCTGGCCACACGGCCTTTGCATGTGCTGCCCTTACCTAGCACGCTTCCGTCCTGGCTTCTCTTGCTAGTTGACTCCCACTCATGCCTCAGAGCCCAGTCAGGGGCGTCTTCCTGATCAGGAGCCCCTGTTATATGCTGTCAGAGCACGATGCTTCTCCCTGACTGGTACTTGGCTGCTGTTGTGACTGTGATTTTTGGGGGCTATGCCCCTCCCGGTCACTGGCCTGAAGCTCCATGAGGGCACAGACTCCACCAGCCACACTGCCTGGCAACAGGGCCAGCAAATATATTCATTCGCCCAACATTCCCAGAGCTGCTCCCACCTTCTGGAAGAACTCAGATTGGTGGGGGGAACAGACAAGTGATACTAATAGGGAACACTTGTTCAGGGGGCTGGGGAGCCAGGCAGTCTTTGGAACATTATCACAGGCAATGCTCATGATGGCCCTAGCGGGGAGGTACTACTTTTTTCAGATGAAGGACTGGGGCACAGAGTGACCTCCCCGAGGTCACATGGCCAGTAGGCCATGGAGCTGGGTTCTTGTAGAGGCCGGCAGGCTGCAGAGCCCAGCCCTGCACCGCACTGCCAGCGGGCGCAGCTCAGCACAGTGAGTGCTGGGGGCTGTGGGGCTGCGGTGCTATCCACGCTGGCAGAGTATCTGCTGCTACCTGCTGCCTGCTCAGAGGCTCTGCCAGTGACCAAAGCCCAGCCCTGCCCCTGGCCTGGCCAGTCTCTCCATCCACCATGGGAGATAGGGAGGCAGAGTTACCTCTTACTCATCCTTTTTGTCCTCGCTGTTGCCTGGGTCCCTTCAGCTCTGTCCAGGCTGACCCCCTCCTGCGGAAGCCGCTGCCCCACCTGACCCCAGAGGGCGAGCACCTCCTGCCTGATCACATGTGGATAAAACTGGCAGTGGTTTCCACTCGCTTCTCTCTCAAATGCGTGATCGCATGGCTGTTAGCAGGCACTCACAGGAAAGCTTAATTGCATGTTTTCGGTTTAAAAAGACCCTCTATTTGTATTAATGCCACTTTCTCCTTCCCAACAGAACAACGTGTGGTCTCAGCTTATTTATGACACTGGACGAGCGAGATGGTAGTGATGGTCGACACGGGGAAGAATGAGAACAGGGTCGCCCGGCCCCTCTCCTCTTCAGCCAAAACGACAGTGGGGTCGGGTCCACAGACATGGGGTGGCCAGGCTACAAGTCTCTTTGTGGCCAGGAGCCCAGCCGGAGTGTGTGTGAGTGTGAGGGGGGGGGAGGGGGAGAGAGGGAGACTGCGGGGGGTGGATATTCAGCTAGGAAGGTTTTGGAGGCATTCACTTTTATTAAATTCTACATTTTCTAGCACCTACCTTCGCCCAGACCTGCCAGGGCTGGTGTGTGCCCCTCAGGCACTCTCAGTCGGGTATGGGGGAGAGGCCAGGACACAATTAACTCCCTCCCTTACCTCCTGGTAAACAGTAACAACAGGGGCCCAGGGGCCCAGAGAAGGGGTGGGCAGGGAACGTGCCCCGCGGAGACCCTGGGTGAGCTGCGAGGCTGACAGGGAATTTGTGGGTTTCTTTAGATGGAGAAAACAGCCTGGCAGAGGCCTTCGGGTGGCGCATCGCCTGCCTGGAACGTGGCTCCAGTCCACGGCATTGGCAGGGCCTCGGGGGGGCGGTGGGGCCAGCATGAGGCCACGGGCTTCATCGGAGCAGCGGGAAAGAGACTCAGATGGCTTTGTGTTGGGGAAACGGGGTGGCATGGAAGCTGCTGAGGGGCCCAGGCCAGAGTGTCCTCACCTGGGCAGGGCTCTGGGACAGAGGCAGGATGGACTCAAGACATTGAGGAGGGCTTGGGGACCTGTGTGCGCACATGCGCCCTAGCGTTGGGGGTGAGGAAGAGGAGAGGGTGCAGGCTGCTGGTTTCTGGCTCAGTCAATGGTGTGGCCGCATCCATGGGGACAGAAGAGTGTGGAAGGGTGACTAATGCCAACTGCACTTTCCAAGTAGAATATCCTGGGGCAGGGGGAAGGCACTCCAGAGGGAAGGAACAGCTTGTACAAAGGCGTGGTGGCTGCCGAGGGACCCACGCAGTGAAGTGTGGCCAGGGCGTCAAACATGAGGTTG